GGGGTGCTTGAAGGCCAGGACTTGATCCTGAAGGGTAGGGGGAGTCATGGAGGGTTCTGGAGCAGAAGGTACCGGCTTTGAGAAGACAAATTGTGGGGTGTGCTGGCAGGACCCACAGAAGGGATGGGGCCAGGAGACCTTTCTGTTTATACTTGTCCTGGGTCACAGATGGAGAAATGGAGGCCCCGGGAGGGAGGAGAAGGCAGGAGCCCTGGGGGCCTCTGGAGGGAGAGAGCAGGAGTGTGGTTGTCTCTGCAGGAACTGACACAGGGGCGTGGGGAGTGTGGGCGTGGCTCCTTGGGTGGGGATAGGGGGAAGGTTTGCTGTCAGACCCCTGCAGCTGCCCGGCCCGTTTCTGGTGACGCATAGGTGTGGGGTCATGGGGGACCCATCCGTGCCCAGCAGGCAGGAAGGCTGTGATGGGGAAGATGGGGCCACCCCGAGAGTGACCACTCCTCTGCCTGTCCCGGCGGGTGCAGAGATGGGGAGGTGGGCACCACAAGGCCAAAGGTGGCGGCGAGGTTTCCCCAGGCCCTCGGAACAGGAGTCTGTACCCCAGGGACAGTTAGTTAATCCAGCCCCAGGGGCTGAACTCCCCAGGGCACCAGGCTCCGCCCTAGGCGGTCACCTTATCAGCTCTGAATCCTCACAGCCACCCCTGGAGGCCCGTGACATCAAACCATTTACGGAAGAGGAACCCAAGGCTCCCTGAAGTCTGCCTGACCCCCAGCTGGAAAGTGGAGACCTCGGGACTGCCTGGCTCCAAGCTCACCTCCTCCTTCGCTGAATGTGGAGAAGACAGATGTCGCTGTGGCTGTGGGTGTCACAGGGCGATGGCCATCCCAGGCCGTAGCAAGGACCCCAAGGGAGGCTCTCCCCAAACCTTCCTCTTTCTCACTTCCTCCCTACGCTACACAACCCATCTCCACCCACTTTATACACAAGACCCACTGGATTCTCTAGAAAGCAGGAGAGGCTGCAGGCAGACACAAGGAAGAACTTACAGGAAACTTCCAGGGACAGAAAAACCTATAGGCAGTTATGGAAGGGCCTAGAGCCCTGGCCCCAGAGACCTCGTGGAGGAAGGAGGAGACCGGGACCCCCAGCTGTGGCGAGGAGATCACCCTGAAGTTCCCACAGCACCCTGGGCTTCCCCACCACGCCCTAGTCTGTGTGGGATTGTGTTGTCTAAGTCTCTGTGCTTGACTAGAAGCCCCTTGTGGGGGAATTTTGATGCCTCTGCACTGCTGTGTCCCCGGCACAGAGCCCGGGACACTTTGGGCTTTCAGATATATTTATTGAAAGCCTGACGTATTCAGAAAGATAAGGCGGGGGCGGGGGCTGGGAGGCATAGGGAAATTGAGGTACAAAGAGGCGGGCCTTGCTTCCTGTTCCTCAGTGGAAGAAGCCAGTCCTCAATCTGGGTTGCCTGTCCCTGGAAAGCTTGACGGTCATATGGTCTCACACCTGGGGACAGACCTTGGGTTAGCCATCCTCCGTTTGCCCCCAGATGTGTTCTCCATCTCGACGGACACATCTGCTGCCTCCTGTTCCCCTCAGCCCTGCACAGATCACAGAGAGGAAGGCGGAGGGGGCCGGGCGGGTAGGATTCATTCCTCGGACGTTTTCCCTGCTGGATCACTCCGCTGAAGGCCACAGCGTTGACCAGGCCCTCTCCAGGCTGAGGGTGGTCATGGCCCACACTGCTGCCAGCCCTGGGTTCTGCCCTGTCCCTTGTGGTTTCCCTACACCCTGTCTACACCTGCGTAAACAGACCCTCCATTAAATTCTCAAATTATCCCATTGGAGCGTGCCATCTGTTTCCTGCTGGGGCTCTGACTGACACAAATGTGTTCAGGTGCCGCCTAGCCACACGCCAAACAGACATGTGGCCAATGGCCAGGCCCCTGTGCCTCAACCCTACAATGGGCAGGTGCACAAATTCTGCTGCTTCCTCCTCCTGGCTGGCTGGGAAGGCCAGAGCTGCAGGAAGGGATCAGCACGTCTGCCTTGGCCACCAGCCACAGGAGGAATTTTAGGCAATCCCCAGGGACCCCCCCAGGCGGCTGTCTGTCTCCAGCATCGGCCAGGAGCCAGGGGCTGTTGGAACACCCGGGCCAAACCCGCAAGGACAAGGGAGAAAGTGGGTGCACAGGAAAGAGAGCACGGGACTGGGGTCAGGGTGTGCAGACTCGGTCTCCGGTGGCCTCGGGCAAGACTTTTCTATGCTCTGGGTCTCAGTTTCTTCGTCTGCACAAGGGGATGGCAGCCTGCCGGCCTGGAGAAGCTTGAAGCCCGGGACAAGAAGCGCAATCGCTCCCCCATGAACAAAGCTTGCCCGGCCCTGGACCAAGTGCCAACCTACTGCCACCTAACAGGCTGAGACTGTCACGTCTCCATTTAAAATTTTTTTTTTCAACGTTTATTTATTTTTGGGACAGAGAGAGACAGAGCATGAACGGGGGAGGGGCAGAGAGAGAGGGAGACACAGAATCGGAAACAGGCTCCAGGCTCCGAGCCGTCAGCACAGAGCCCGACGCGGGGCTCGAACTCCCGGACCGCGAGATCGTGACCTGGCTGAAGTCGGACGCTTAACCGACTGCGCTACCCAGGTGCCCCACGTCTCCATTTTACAATGGAGGAGACGGAGACTCAAGTGCACATGACACCAGGGCTGGGGCAAAGCAAATCTGGGCCTGTAGTTCCTCCCTTAGCTTCTAGAACATTCCATCCTGGTGTTCTTCCCATCTCCCTGGTCGCCTTATCTGCCTCTTTGCTGGTTCCTCCTCATCCTTACTCGGCCTTTTCCCTTCTCTGTTTACCCTCACTTCAGGGTCAGGTTTTCTCAAACCTTGGGGACCATGATGTTGTGTCCCCACACAAATCCTGGGACTCGGACTCAAACAATTCCAGCGTTTTGTGAACATATGTATATGCCCTTATGATACGTGTCCATCTTGTCTCGTTTTCTTTGAAACACTGATCACAAGCCA